TGTACAAGGTTAATTTTCTTGAGAAAATGCATCATACTATCTTGGAATAGGCAGATTGGATCATGTGATGTGAGGATGCAAAAAAATTCTCTGAAATCTAGTACCAATGACTCAATACCTGCCTCTTATGTGTCAATGCTATTCAGTCTTATATAAGCAACCTGAGATTTGGGGCCCTCAGTTTTTGGTTTTTTTTTTAAATTGAGGTACTGAAAAATATGACTAGTAAACTTTAGTTTGGTTTTATAATTTTTATGACTTAATGTCTTTGAACTGTTGGATGTCAAAATATATTTTTGTTCAAGAGCTCATATATCTGACAAGGCAGCCAATAAATTGGAAGCTCAACAACTCAAAATAGGTGTCACAAAGTCAAGGACCAGAGTGTGATACAGTGATTAAAGAACGGCTTCTGAAAACAGACGTCCCTGGTCCAGGCTCCACTCTACCACATGAATGGATTTGGGTAAGTTTACTTACCTTACTTACAGGAAGCTCAGTTCCTCCTGTAAAATGGAGACAAACATATCAACTCCACAGAGTTGATGGTGGTAAGGGCTTAAGACACAGTAAACAATAAATAAACTGAATAAACTGCAATTCTTCTGATTGTCTCAGAAAGTGTGAGTTGCAAAGAACAGAAATGGAGTACAACTAGCTTCGCTAAAAGGTAGGCTGATTGAATGATACCAGGAACTCTGGAGAAGCCCAGTCATCACAATCATGGCTGGGTGTCCTAGAAATAGGAATAGGGATGGAGGGAGCCAGGGATCAAGTCTGACTTTTCTCTGTGTTTCTCTCATGTTACACAGTATCTCCAGTCTGCTTCTCTCTGAATATCAGCTCCACTCTTCTCTCCTCTTTGTAGACTAGTTTTCTTGTTTCTTTCATCCATTTTGTACACGATCATCATAGCTTTCCCCAAATGGCAGTCTCAGCTCCCAAATCTACATGAGCCTGCAGCTTGGATCCCTGCAACTAACTGACTTAATATCATGGTAATCCAACTTCAAATTCCTGTGAGATAAAAATCTGATTGGTCCAGCTTTGATTTGGTAAGCACTCTTGGTCCCAATAGCTGAGGGATCAACTAGCAAGAAGAGCAGCCTCTGTCAGTGCCATCCACTAGCTCTCTCTCTGGGGAGGGGCCATTGGTATCTGAGTATTGTGCACTTTACTCTTGAAAGGACCCACAAGGCTCTCACTTTTGTTTTACAACACAATTCAACACAATTCTAATATCCCATCTTTCTGCATAAGTGGTAGAGTGGTAGGGGGCTGGAGAGAGCATGCTAGAGGGAGATACGCAGATAATGATACCATTGGCCTGGGAGAGAGAGGAATTCTAAAAAAATAATGCAGTGTAGACACAAGAACTCCAAACAAGGAGCAATGAGATCCTACAATGAAAGCATACACAATGTGCACTTCAGTGGGCTCCAGCTCTTTAATGCAGCATCAAGACAAAGTATAAAACAATGTTTCATTGTAGCATTATTCACAATTGGATAAGGAAAATGTCACATATATACACCATGGAATACTATGCAGCCACAAAAAAGAATGAGGTAGTATCTTTTGTGGGAACGTGAATAGAACTGGAGGCTATTATCCTTAGCAAAGTAATGCAGGTACAGAAAACCAAATGCCACATATTCTCACTTACAAGTGGGAGCTGAATGTTGAGAACTTATGAACACAAAGAAGGAGACAATAGACACTGGGGTCTATTTGAGGCAGGAGGGTGGAAGGAGGGAAGAGGAGTGGAAAAGATAACTATCAGGTTCTGGGCTTAATACCTGCATGATTAAATAATATGTACTTAACAAACCCCCATGACATGTGTTTGCCTATGTAACAAACCTTCACACGTACCCCCAAACCTAAACTAAAAGTTAAAAACAATGTTTTATAAGAGGATGCATCTGTTGAAGAAATGAGGGAACCTCATTGAAGTGCTGTAGTTAAAATATCTCATCCATTCATGCAGTTAACATTCTTTTGTTCATTCACCAAACATTTATTGTTTATTATGCTCCAGGCACAGTTCACCCACTGTTGCATGTGCCAAAGAAGAAGGGGAGACGTATCTGCAAGTCAGCAATTAAAATGGAATGAGATGCACACTTTGGAAAAGGCATAGCCAGGGCAGTATGTGGGCACAGGAAATTGATCATGGGGACATTAGGGTGGATAGAAACCTGGAGGTGTGATGCTTTCTGAGGAGTTTTGGGGAAAGAAGGAGAGAAGCATATGTCAGGCAGGGGAACAACACATTAGGCAGCAGAGAAACGTGACTGAGCAGGACCCCACCAGTGCCTCATGGAGTCCCTATGTCTGCAATGTAGACGCATGAAGCTGGAGTGAGTGGGCACTGGGCCAGGAAAATGGGCAGGAGTCTGAATGAAAAGGGCCCGAAAGGAACTGGAACACGATTCTAAAAGCCACAGGAGGTATGGATGGCTTTTAATCAGGGGAGTATCCTGGTCAGCTTTGTGAATTGTAAAGCTTATTCTGGCATGCCAAGCAGCCTAGGGAGGAGAGTCATGCTGTTCGTTGTAGCAAACCGGGAGTCATGCAAAGAAGCAGTCCTTGCTGTAAGCAAGCAGAGGAGGTGCCAGTTTTGAGGGGTGCTGCAGGGTAGGCTGGGTGACTGGCACATTCCTGGTGGGGCCATTCATTGGGGTGGAGATTACAATAAAGAGGGACACACATGAAGGGAAAGACTGAGGTTGAGGGGACTGTAGGACTTCAAAAAGGAGGTGTCCCTCAAACAGTGGAATAAGTGCTAAGTGCCTGGAGATAAGGTGAGAATTATGGTTTGAAGAAACATATTCCGAGCCCATCAGCAGATGGCTGGTGGCCCTCCCTGAAGGATCGTGGAGAGCGAGAGAGGAAGTGGGAGGGCATCACTAGTCAAGGATGGGGCAGGGAGACAGAAGCCTCAAGCCAATGGTGAAGCAAGGCTGTACAGGTGGCTGGAAACCCTCTGTGAGACAAAGGAAGAGAGTTTCAGGAAGGAGTGAGCGACAAAGTATATCTCATGGCAAGAAGGAATATGAAAAGACAACAAAAAGGTCCAACAGTTTTGAGAAAAGGGGGCCACGGGTCTCATTCCTGAGGGTGGTTTCTCCAGTGAGGTGGAAATGGAAGCTATGTGGGAGGACAGGGGTTAGGGGAAGGGAAGGAAGTGAACCCAGACAGCTTTCCATGAAGTTTGACTGGGAATGAAAGAGGGAAATAGAACCGAAGCTGGAGAGTGAGGTGGTGATTAGGATAGGCCTTTTCCAAGATGCGGAATTGTTTCTATTAATAGGATGCAGACAGCCGGCAGACAGGGACGGTAGATACAGCAAGGAGAGGAAGATTGATGGCATAAGGTCCCCAAGGAGAAGCAAGGAAGGGCCCACGGCAGGGGTGGAGGGATTAGCCTCGGACGGGGGAAGGACAGTCCTCTTACCCAGACAGGAGGAAAGGAGGGAAGGATGGGGATGGATAGATAAGTTTGTAGGTGTCAGGGGAGGAAATTGAGAGAGTTCTCGATTGATGGCCTCAATTTTCTCCATGAAGCAGGAGGCAAGGTGATCTGCTGAGTGGTACGGGGGAGGCGGGGGAGCAGGAGGTGGTTTTGGAAGACAGAAGTTTGGTATATGAGACTGCTAAGAGCAATGGGGAATTGGGCTGGCTAGAGACACAGAAAAACTGGCAGGGAGCTCTAGCATCCAGCCGAGTGGGAGGAACATATATTTGGTATGTCTGTAACTCTCACAACTGTAACATTTTCTCCTAAACCTTTTACAAGTCTAGGCAGAGTAGCAAGAGACTGAATTGTTAGATTGAACCAGGACTGAGTTTCTGCAGAGTGGATGTCACAGAGACTTGGTCAAGAAATGACAGAATATTGAGAAGAAAGCAATGAAGTGATGAGCTATAGGGTACAGACAGATTGGACAGGGCACAAAACTGAAATTCATCTGCTAGATCAGGAGTAAATACAAGAGTCCAAGACTTACAAAGTCACAGTGGGTAGATGTTTGCAGATGGGGGAGGAATGGTGAGCTAAAAAGAACCTGTTGACACAGAGCAGGCTGTGGAAGTGTCAGATAACAGAGGTTGACTTTTTCTGGAGGCTGTGAGATCAGTCATCTGAAGTTAATATTACCTCTTCGTCGAAGCCTTCTCTACCTTCTCCACCCCAAAACTTTTCTCTCCAGATTCTGAAAGCCTGTATCTTTTGTTTGCAGGTGGATAGTGAAAGGAACATTAAAGGTAGACCCTCGATATACCATTCAGGAGACCTGGGTTTTGGTTTTATTTCTAGCACCCTTAAGTTCTGTGGCCTTGGCCGTAGTATGAGCCACCAAGTAACAGCTATCTTCACCAGAAAAACCTGCTTAGGGACAGATGATTCTATCTATACACATCTTGTCTATGGCAAATAGTTGCCCACACGTCCCTGCATTTCCTTTGCTTCTTCCACCTTTATATGGGAGTAGGGATGGGAGAAGCAAAAACTATGTTCCTCAAATGTGACTTTATTTCCCTGCAGTTTATACAACACCCAAAATCAAAAGAATCCTGGAAGGAACTCTAATGGAAAAGGAAAACTATATTTTGCTTCATCAAATTTCCTAAGACTGCTTTTATTTTAACAGTCTCAAACCAGAGCTTGAGAGTACCAAGTCCAAGAGGCTTATGATGCCATAAAGGCAAATATTCTGGGAGGAAAAAAGTAGGCCCTTTAAAATCCAAGCTTTGTTATCTGACTAAGGTCAACAGAGACCGACCAAATCAACAAGCATGACATGAAGGGCAAATTTGCAATTAGAAGAAGAATAGGGAATTATAAAGATGGATGGGCCCCATGACATGCATGCCCAAGCCTGCGTGGCCTTGGCCTCGGATGCCAGGAAATTAATGCTTTACTCTTTAGCGTTCATCACCTTTGGCTCTGAACAGAAAGGCAAATGCATTAAAATAACAACAGTTAGAACACTTACTTAGCTTGGAAGGCATTGTTGGTTCCCCTGTGGTCGAGGTCATGACACAGGCATCCCACAATCACCGCTAAAATTTCCACCTCAGTCAGAATCTCTTGAAACCCAGCAGTCTGGGAAGAAGGGGAAAATGGCAACAGTCACTACTGGGGCACGGAGGATGGATAAGGTTAGGTGCTGAGCAACAACCAGCCCTGTTTTCATATGCACATCATTTAAGGAGATGATTAACTGCCACCCCCTCAGATGACAGTAAGTTGGGTAGCCAGTCGCACGGCCGAAGGTCCCCACAGTGATGAATTAGCTTGCTGTCACAGCAGCCCATGCTGCCACACCGGGACATAGTTCAGACTATGCTGTTACCTTTTTAGAGAGACGGCTGGATTATCCAGATACAGTGACAGTTTGGCAAAGCCCCAGGGCAAAATTTGTTTTGTTATTATACATTTTAATGATGAGCATAGGGTTTGGAGGCTGGATGTTGGAAAATAGGAGGGAGCAGGGAGTTTAAAACTGAACATTACATCCACCAGATGCCATCCAAATGAGAGCAGGCAGAAGAAAAACACAATCCTTCTTTTTTCTAATATTAAAAGGAGAGACTTCAACATACTCAAATTGTTACACAATGACATCCTAGAGGTTATCTTGTAAATACCTTAATTCATATTAGATTGGTAGACAGATGAAATTCATACAGATAATAAGGCAGTACGTGTCGTGGACACCAGATTTGGCAGAGGATTGTCAACCCAGACTGAGAATCCAGTGGAGTATCCCTTATTAGAAATTCTTTCTTATCTTGTGGTAGCTTGCTGGTGAAATGCACAGCTGTGATGTGATTTCTTTGAAAAGCAGGTTGATATAATTATGTAACCAAGAGCAGCAATGCTTCTTGGGTTCCTGCTGGCCCTTTCATTAGTTTAGAAGAGGAAGTGGACCTCTGGGAAAGTAGGCCTATGCATTTTCTTGATCGAAGGCCTTTATATCTTCCCCTCTTTTCATTTGTAAGTCTCTCATTTCATTACTTATTAAAATCTTCATCAGAGATTAGTAGAAGGTGGAGGTTAGGGCACAAATTGTTCACTTTTCATATGTGTTTTCCCCCCAAAATCCAGAATCACTGGCCCACACCTGTAAGACATTTCTCTTAAAGCAATGAAAATTTTGTTTTTAAATTAGTTATGTTTTTATTGCAGAAATAACTCAACAATAGGTTCCTATGTTGACAATTTTATTTTATTTTATTTTTTTAGGAGATAGAGTTTCCCTCTGTCACCCAGGCTGGAGTGCAACTGCACAATCTTGGCTCACTGCAACCTCCGCCTCCTGGGTTCAAGTGATTCTCCTGCCTCAGCCTCCTGAGTAGCTGAGATTATAGGCACGTGCCACCACACCCAGATAATATTTGTATTTTTAGTAGAGACAGTATTTCACCACATTAGTCAGGTTATTAGCTGGTTTTGAACTCCTGACATCAGGTGATCCACTCGTATTGGCCTTCCAAAGTGCTGGGATTACAGGGGGTAGCCTCTGCACCCAGCAGCAATTTTGTTTTAAAAAGTAGACTTGGGTTCGCTGCTACATTTAGAAATACATATAACTTCATTTGCATAGAGAATGAGAATGCCAATAAATTGGGAGTATGAAATAGTTCATGTCAAAGCTTGTGTATGCGGCTGGGCATAGTTGCTCAAACCTGTGATCCCAGCATTTGGGAGGCCGAGGTGGGTGGATCACCTGAGGTCAGGAGTTCGAGACCAGCCTGACCAACATAGCAAAATCCCGTCTCTACTGAAAATACAAAAATTAGTCTGGCTTGGTGGCACACACCTGTAATCCCAGCTACTCAGGAGTCTGAGGCAGGAGAGTCGCTTGAACAGGGAGGCAGAGGTTGCAGTGAGCCGAGATCACACTGCTATACTCCAGCCTGAGCGACAGGGCAAGACTCCACCTCAAACAAACAAACAAATAAACAAACAAAAAAGCTTACATATGCCCTTCACTTTAAAATCTGCAGTTGGCTGTTAGTTTTTTCTAATTTTATTTTACTTAAAGTATTGCCTGCAGTAATTTAAAAAATTCAAATTATACTGAGACTTAGAATTAAAAATCAGTAGTCCCTGATTCTTCTCCTTTCTTGATTCCCAAAGGCAACTACTTTCTATTTTCTTTTTTACCTAAATTGGTAGTTTTCCCACCATATTTCTATATAGCATGCACATATTATTAGCACTTGGTTATTCACCAAGTACTCATATTGTCCTTTCCATGTACCTACCATACATTGTTCTAAGAGCTTTACAGCCACTTAACTTATGGAGTTCTCATAGCGGTCCTGTTAGGTAGAAACTATTACTGTCCCCAGTTTGTAGATGAGAAACTGAGTCACAGAGAGGCTAAGTCATATGCCCAGGGTCTCCCAGCTAGTGCATGGCAGATGCGGGCAAGCTCCCAGCATCCTTTCACCAGAGCCTGCCCTTGAACACCGCTGACGTCTGGCAGCAGGTGAGTTTACGGTCACCCTCCCCTCACACTCCCAATGTGATCCACAGAACTTTCCTATATTACGATCCTATAAATATCATTCACTGCCGAGCCAATCAGTATACAATGATTGTTTCCTTACAAATGTATATTTTCTTGTTTCCTGGAGTTAGGATTTCCGTGAAACATCTAAGTCTTCTTACACCCTACACAACTCTGCAAAATGCTTCTCAAAACAATTCTGAAGTGGGTCAAAACCGTCACACTAGATCCTTTCTGTCCTCAGGACGCCTTCCTGCAGCCCAACCCCACTGTCTGGTCTGGAGTCTCTCTGTTGCCAGCCGCCCTCAGAGCTTCCCCCGCCATCATTCAGGGGGTTCCTCCTTCCCCTCCTGTGTCTGGTCCCCCACCTCCTGCAGCCCACATCTTTCTTTTTCCTCATTTACCCCCTCATTTTGCAGGAACACGTCTGCAGGGGCTTCATGAGAAAAGGCCTTACTTTTTTTAAACACTGTGGGAGTTGGTTGTTTTTGAGGCTTTGCATGACTGAAAAAAGTCTTTATTCTATTCTCATACTCAGCGTGCCTCACAATTCTAGGCTGAAACATGTTCACTCAGAATTTTGAAGGCCTGCTCTATTGCATTTTAGCTCCCAAAGTTGCTTTTGACAAAAATGCCATTCTCAATCCTAATACTTTGAATGTTACTTGATTTTCTTTCTTGTAGAATCACCTCTCAATTTCTGGTGTTCAGCAATTTCACAAAGATATGTTTTGGTTTGGGACTTTTTTTCCCATTCAATTCATATGTTAATCCTAATCTGGAAAATCAATTTCTTCAGTACAATGTTTTTCTAATCTTTTTTCTTTTCTTTCTTTTTTTTTTTTTTTCTGCCCTATTTGAATGAAACTCCCATTAGTTGGATATTGAGATTCTTGTACTGATTTCCTTATCTCTTCTTTTCCATTTCCTATACAGGCCTTTCCTCTTACTTTCCAGGCATCATAATATGTTTAGTTTATGAGCAAATTTTTGTTTGATGCTCCTTGTCCCCTGGTGTGCTATTCTCCTCCCATGGATGCATGATCTTTTCTTGTCTCTCTGAAGATACTGATCATAATTCATCTGAAAATTTCTGCTGTTCCTCATATTGCCTTTTTTTCTCTGTGTTTGCGGGTTTCTCTCAAGTGTCTGGTAACCTTTGGTGGTCAATTCATTCTGAAGAGTAAGGCATCACAAAGCTAACTGTATGTATGTGGGTGGCGCCTGCATATCGCTGTGTCTTACCATGGGGTGACTGTGTGGCCAGCTGGTCTTTTGCTGGAGATGCCCAAATGTCAACATCTAAACTCATTTTCTCTGGACCTTCCAATCTGTTGCCTGGAAATGGTGCACACATGTGTGTCAGCATCCCGAGAAAAGAGAACTGTAGCTTCCCACCTGTGAGGATGTAGGCTTTCACTTAATCCTCTTATTTTAAGTGTGCACCTCATCCTAACTTTGCTTTTGCTTGTGTACCCAACTCTGGGATTTAGTTTCTGCAGCAAATACTCTGCTTACGGCAGAGGTAGGGGGAAGAGTAGCTCTCCAACTACACAAAAAATGGAGACTTGGGCACTCACTGTTTTCATCACTCCCTCATTCCATATGACCCCATTTTTGTAGTATCTGAGGCCTCTAGTTCCTGAGTCTCAATAGGTTCTGGGGGTAGCATTCTTTCTTATGGATACCCCTTCCTCCACACACTCACCTCTGAAGACACTTGGGTTTCTCTTCTCTGCTAAGTTATGAATTATCCTCCCTTCATTTTCTGCCTTCATGTGTTATGAGTCCAGGCAAGGCAGGATTTGTGTACATTTCTTGTTCTCTGTGTTATTTTAGGGTGATTTTTTTTAAAGAGAAGGGGGATAAATGTCTTTTGTTGTCATCTCTATCATCTTAAAACTCAAAATGTTGGGTTTGGTCTTGCTAATACTAGGTAAAACTTGAAGAGTCCATCAACTATGAAATAATTAACTATGGTGCTCTGGAAATCATTGTTGTGCTATGATGGTGTGCAAAAATTTAGAGCGATCTTGCCCATGAAAATGCTATTGACTAGAACTAGCTGATAAATCAGAGCAGTAACACTAGAGATAATGTTAAAATAAGGCAATTAGCTAGAAATTTAATCAGTGAAGCCAAATGCCATCTAGTAGATTTGAGATCAAAATCCCCAGACATTTAAAAACCATCAGTTTTCACCCATTTTATAATAGGCTGGAACATATTTTGCTAAAGTGTTCCACACAGTCCCCATCCCCCACTCTGCCCAGAAATCTAGCATCTTGGTCTTAAGCCATTTGTATCATGGATACTTTTAAGAATATAACAGAGGCCATAGACTCTCTTCCTAGAAAATGTTCTATAATTTTATGGTATTCAAAGACTATGGAGCCCATCTCTAGATCCTCGGAGTAAAGAATCCCTGAAGTACAGCACCTACACAGTCACACAAAACATATTTACCTCTCTCGACTGTGATACCTGAGTTACTGAAGCAGCACCTATCTCTTGACTGTGATTTAAAGCTGCCTGGAAAATGGTTTCTGGGAGTCATCAGGCCTGAAAAATGCCCACCTGCCAC